CATTCCTTATGTTGCACAGCTTCAATTCAGGCACAGTGCCCCCAAAATAACAATGGTGTAAAATGAGTGGTCATTTCTTATGGCTCACAGTGGAAGTAATGGATTTGGAATGCTTGGATCTGGACACAGGGGCATCCCCCAAACTCTTTTGTCTCAGAGGGAGGAACCAGCCAAGGTGGGGCCTAGAACAGACCGACTCTCCTGCAGGATCTACAGGATGCACTCAATGCAGAGTAGAAAGGACCGCAAAGATAGAGACGGAAGCTATATTAGGCTTTTATTAGACCCTATTAAATGTTCAATTTCAACAACAGATTCTTAACAAAATTACACCTAGCTTGGGAAATAAATGCTTTGTCAGTTCATCAATTGCAACATGAAGACAGATGGAAGGGAGAAGAATGAGACGGGACTGCCTGTAAAGCAGATTCAGCCTTATATTTCTGTGTAAATCCAGCAGTTTTTTACAGCTTAGAAAGAAAGGTTGCAGGAAAGACAATTCCCCTTGAGGGACCCTGCTTTTGTTATGGCTCAAAAGGATCCCAGACATAGATTTCTATTTTAATTGTCAGAAATGAGTACTTTTTTAACATAATTCAATGTAATGCAGTGATCACAAATGAATTTTTTTGATCAAAAATGAACTTTAACCTGAGCACAGAAATACAGGTGATCCTCACTTAATGACCACTCATTCAGCGACCAAATTTACAATGATGCTAAACCAGTAGTACTAACAGCCAGTCCTTGTACTTACGATGGCCGCAGCATCCCTGAAGTCGTGTGATCTCAATCTGGGCACTCAGCAACTGGCTTTCAGTTACAACTTCGCAGCATCCCGTGGTCACGCAATCACCATTTGTGACCTTCACTGCTGGCTTCTGACAAGCAAAGTCAACAGGGAAGCTGGCAGGAGGTCACAAATGGCGACCATGTGACATCGGACTTAACGATGGCAACCAGAAATGCTGGAACTGCTGCATTAAGCAACACATTCATGTGACTGTGCTTCATGACTGCACTGCTTAGCGACGGAAATTCCAGTCCCAATTACTGTTGTTAAGTGAGGACTACCTGTAGTAAAAGATAATCAACCTTGACATATAGGACTTAAACATTTTATTCACAGTAGCCCTTGCTGCTAAAATTGTCTGGGTTAATAGCCTGTCACTGTCAGAGAGGGCATAACCACTGCTGTAAACCTCAGAAAGTGTTCAATCAACCTGGCCCCTGCCCTCCACCAGAAAACAAAAGATGTCTTACACTGAACACACACATCCACACGCATGACTGTGGACCCTCCCCATTTTCATGCAGAATCCCTCCAGCGGTACTTGTGTTAAAAAGAAACAGCATCACCCAGAAGCTGGACATAATGGATTCAGACAGGAATGAATTTAAAAACGTCCAAGATTGCAGTTTTGAGCAAGTTTCAATAAATTAATCTATTATTGCATACAATCAAAGCCCACTGCTGTGAAGGAAAAAAGTGGGTTAACAGAATATTTATAGCTTCTGTGTGCTAGAAATACTGTTTGTAGATTTTGATTTAAAGCCTGATAAAAATATAATATAAAATGAGAATACTGTTGCAAAACATTTGCTATGGGTAACATTAGTCATTCTCCTAGAGCTAACTTCCAGTGTCGTTTTGCTGCCACACAGACCTTGCTGAGTTGTATTAAACAAAGTTCCTCCATAAACACATTTAATGTATTTTCAGTCTATTTTTTCAAAATGAAACGTTACATAAAACACAGGTCACAAGACAAAACAAGTTGCTCGCATGAATTAAATTCACTGCTACTTCAGTGTTCCATCAAGGTACTTTTTTCTGCAATGAAGTCATCATTACTATATATGAGATACAAACTGTACACGTTCACTTTATTTCAGAAACATGTAAAATTATTTTGCAATGTTAATTATTAACGCAAAGGTTACAGTAAAGAACAGTCTTGCAGCCCAGTCTGGTAACTCTAACCCCTCCTCAGCGTGCAGGACGAGCCATCTCTTTTTTGTTTGCAGTGGGCCGGAACCCGCCATGCACTCATCACCGCATTTTACCTTTTGCTTCCACGGTCTCACTTTAAACAGCGCGCTGTACGTAGTCTTCTCAGTCGTTTGCAGCAACTGCTGAAAACTTGCAGGATTTCTCAGATGCAAGTAATTTGGGCTTTAAAGTACATCGTTAAAGCGTGGTTTCCCATAGTCTACAAGATCCATTTGGAGATCCCTCTCCTCGTCATCTGCAGGGGAATGAGGAAAACCAACCTTTAGCTCTCATGGAGCCGACATGGGGAGGGAAAGAGGGGAGACGTTGCTGAACGCTTAGCTGTGAGGGGCTGTGCTGTTCTTTTCGCACCCTGACTGGGGTTGGGGAGGCAGCTGGCCAGTAACACTGTGATATCAACACGGGGTGGGTGCAGCCCCCTATCTTGGTTTGAGAGTTAAATGCATGATGCACCCATTTTGCCCATTAGACCTCTCCAAAGCAGAAAAGTGGGCCGGTTGTTTCTGGATTTTTCTTCTTTCCAACCTAACAAAATGGTGGAAATAAATTGTGTATAGGGTGCTGAGACTCTCAGTTTATCTGACTCTGAAAACGGAACAGAACAGGGAGAAGCTGGTCAAGAAAGATCCAGTCTGAAACTGGACCAGATCCATCCAGGGGCTGCAGAAACAAAGATCAAGACAAGTTCCACCCGTGACTCCTATGCAATGTGGCCAGCTCCTCCATTCTAAGTGCCCCAGTCCCAAGACCCACAGCCGAGGGATCATGAGATGCTCCCTGCCTTGTCTTAAGGGTGGGGGGCTGGGCTTGCTTTATGCTCAGTAAAGCTGAGTGACCCCACTTCACCTTACATGCTTCTTCCCAAATGGGTCGTTTTCAGACCCATCTGCTCTGGCAGCTGTAAGGGCACATGCCATCTGCTGATTACTCACCCCTGATTTAGCCAGACATTCCAGAAAACTGAATTTCAGCAGCCTCGTGTTTTATAACCCCACCTTTTCCTTCATCATTTAATGTATCCCTTCTCATCCTATTAGAGAGATCCTTTTTAAATCTATGAACACTTCTGAAACACTTTCCTCCCTCTGCCCTCTAGGTTAAGTGACAATTCTTTGGCCCCGGAGGGGTTTTCTGCAGCAAAAGCACTGTGTGACACCTTGGAGACTAATCAAATTATCCTTGCTTAAGCTTTTAAAGATCACATCATTTCTGCTACAATGGGCTCAAAATCCCAGCTAGTTTCTCCAAAGCAGAGGAAGTTCAGCTGTATACTCCAGTTTAAGATTCAGCTGCCAGATCCATGCAAATGACAGGTTTCACCAGAAGCACAAAATCCATCAATGGAAGACTGTTATTTGCAAGCAGAATAGACAGACAGTAAACTATAGAGACACTTGCATTCTAAGCAGAGTTTGGAGGAGCAGGTTTTAATGCAAATACCTGTATCACCAAAAACTGGGTAGGGAGGAAGACACCCAAAAAAATATGTTTACATAAAGATGTCTAATGATGCCAAGATTGTATTCACAGCTGCTGTCCAGTGCAGCAGCTTTGACAGCCTTATGTGATTCTGAGAATGTGATTTAATTTCCCAGAATACTATTATGACATAGCTATAGCCTCCATTTGCTGTAAGGGGGCAACGGGAAGCCAGAGCAGTGGTGCTCCAGAGGTGGTACAATTACCACAGAAAGGTGGGACACAGTTTTGCTTTAGGAGGAGGAGGAGGAGGAGGAGGAAGCAATTTTATTTTTCAACTGTCTATAATTAGGCACAGTATACGATACCAACAATATGGAGCAATAATCCACTACATTCCAATTTAAGACCATGGCTTAAAATGTACAACCTCAGTGAACTGAATGGCCCATAACACTTAAAACAAGATTCAGTAATGATATTGGAATAACAAGAAGAATTGTGCATGAAGAGTTAACACTTTCAAAGGCCCCTAAAAGAGAAGTGGTTTTAGTGCTTTTTAAGATTTTGATAAATCAGAATCCCAGGCTTAATTCAGGGGGCTGGCAGATAGGAAAAAGTTCTCGATGACCATGGCACTCTTCTTGTATGAGGAGGTACCAGTCAACCCTGGCTGGTCCACTGAGCTAGGTGCACACGAACTACGAGCAGATTTTCCCAATCATACACAGCCAGTGCAAGGACTGGTGATAGAAAAAGACAGGGGTACTTTGGGAGAGGTCCAGCGCCGCATGAACTGCACTCTCCTAGACCTGTACCAGGACAGAGAGGGGAACTGGATAACCTGGCCAGCTGCAGGAACCCAGCTGCCATGAGCCAATCAGGGCAGGATTCAATTGGTTTGCATCCTGGTGGTGAGGAGAGTAAATCCATTCAGAGAAAATCACTGCAGCTTAAGATAACAAGGTCTGGTCTTTATTTACCAACCCCAGATATGTGGAACAACAGGTAACAAAGGCTATCTGTATCATTTCTATGAGCAAGGAAGAATAGGGTGCTCAACATGATTTTGAAAATCCACCTTGTTAGACCTTAGCAGCAAGGAGAGGAAATGTAGCACGTCGATACTAATTGGGTTTTCTCCAAGTCTGCCCCTTAACACACACAGCCTAACTTCCAGTTACTTGGAAAAGCAGTTTCAAGACAAATGGCTTCAAGTTTGGAAATATTCCACCACCAAAACTGCTACAAAAACAGGTACAGTCAAATCTCAGGTGCCAAGTCACTAACTACTAGTGTCCTACTAGCTAAATAATGGAACTCTACACAAATTCAATGTGCTTTTCATATGATGAAGTTAAGTGAATGGGATGGAGACAAGGCCCAAGCTCACCTTGGACGTCTTCTTCACCACCATCACCATCCTCTTCCTCATTGTAGGCCAGCTCAGCCTGCTTGTCTGCCTCATACTCACCCACGTTCCCATCATCCCCATTATAATCCGCCAGTTTAGATCCATGTTGAGGATCAACAGGGGACTCGTTCTCATCAAAGAACCGGCCTGTGAAGTAGGCAAAGGATCAGTCAGGAGCAAAGAGAAAGGGGCAGAGGGAAGCAGGGAGTGGCATGAAGCAAGGAGAAGAGTATCTGAGGATAGGCTTCAAGGTCACTCATCCTGGTAGTTTAATGAATTGTGGAAAATGAACATGCAGCAACTCCAGTGCCAGAAACCTCAGAAAGGTGAATATTGCTTATATAGAACTCCACAGAAAAAAAATCACAAGGTTTAAAATATGAGTCAAGAGTAGACTTTTTGCTTCATGTTACAAGATCCTTACTTCTGTTGTGAGGGAAAGAACTATAGCCTTTTTGACTAAATAAATTGAAAGACATGTCAGAAATCTCATATGTTCTACAAATCCCACTGTTTGTCATAGAATGATTTTTTTTTAAAGGTTCAATTTGCTATGTTCTCCATGTAGAGATCTTAAATGCTTGCTTTGAATGCAGGCAAGTAACCAATTTATATTGGCTGAATACTTTTTAAGCATACCTTGACTTCCATTTATCAGACTTGATGAAAAATTCTGGTTGCTTGGGCAAAATTTATAATAATTAACATACTCTGGCCTACAGAAAATTCCCAATACTTCAGAAAAGTACCAATTGTGAAAACTAATTTCACAATGAAAATACATTAATCTGAAGAAAATTACATAACTCTTGTACACTGCAAGAATGGCAAGATCCAGCGTCACGTTAAGTGGATGAATTGAAGCCCAGTGCAATGTGCTAGTTCTCAGAGGGTAAAAGACTGCAAGAGGAGGCTTGGTGATGCTTAAGAAATAAACTTGCAAATCCTTCCATATTTCCTCAGAAGCATCCTTTACAAACTCAGCATTTAAACACTGCTAAGATTTGAGTCCCATACCTTTCTTGCATACTTGCAGAAACATTCAGGCACATATATGCTATGCTAACTTGCGAGCAAAAGTTTCATAAATTTTGTAAGAAATGTACGTGGTAAATAAATGTAAACATAATTACTTCTAAGAGCTATCACACTCCAACTGCTTTGTGAAACCTGAAGAGCTGCAATTAAAAATAACAGCAGCAAAGAATTCCTAGCTTCGTAAGTTCTCAGTTCTTTAAAGGAACAAATACTAGCTTAACATTGCAGACAAGGCAGGCTCTGAGTAGTGCTCATTCTTGGAGCCAAGAGTATCTTGAGAGCTCTTTACAAGCTTTAGAAGTCCTACTTGTTGACAGAAGCTTGAATCTGCCTGGCCCGCTAGAGCCCAGGAAATACAGTTGTGCCACAGGTTGTGTTCTCAGGATCAATTAGCTCCCCACAGGAGAGGGCTGGTTTCACAAAGTTTCAGAAGGCCAAGTAGGATTCAGGTCTATTCATGGGGATCCTAGAATGCAGGATTGATGATGTCTTGTAAACAAAAGCTACTTCTGCAGAATACCTAACTACAATATCAATATAGGAGGGGGAAAAAAAACGAGAAAATATTTCTGTCTGGAGCAGTGAATCTGAACACGCCATTTCCATACTTTTCGTTCCATGGCCCAAGCGTGAATGCAATTAACAGTGCCTTTATCAGGCTATTGTATGACTTTGCATTTGTACTTGTGTTGCTATTTCTGGAATTTGCTTTTGCTTTTATAATACTGTAGTATTCAACTGTTGATTCCTCAATTGGTAGCCACAGTGAAAATGCAAGGAGAGGCAGAATACAAAAGTTTAAAAGTAAAGATGTTTTAAGAAGACTTCATTGCCCCTTTAGACTCTACCATTCTATGTCCTAAAGCTACAGCAAGATATTTATGAACACTCAAGCTACTTTTTAAATGAAGGGAAAGAATTCTTCCATACCATGAGAGCATAACTCAAGACACTTACTATTTCTGAGAGGTGTATTGAAGTCTTAATGATATAAGCAATTTAATAATCAGATATTCCTAACTTGAGCAAAAGAAACACAATATGGTTTGAATTAGTGTATGTACGTATCAATTTGATCATTCAAAACCATCAGTGTATTAGATAATGTTAAGCAGTATAAAACAGGATCCAGGAGTTTAGATTAAGAAATAGCCTTGACTTGGAGGTTGCAGGTTTAGAAGAAATAAATTATGTTGATTATAGATTATAGATTATTATTATTATTACATTATAGTAAAATGGCATTTTAAGCTTTCAAAGGTAGTATGCTACAGAAAGTAACAAGCAGCTTAAGAAAAGATTTCAGAGGATTATTAACAATGCATTTCATTACATTTTGAAAAGGAAAAATAATAGAATCATAGAATTGGGAGGTATCGCAGAGATCATCTAGTCTGACCCTTTAAAGCATTTCAATCAGATGACTTATCCAGAAGACCTCCTGGGAAGGAGAACTCATCATTTCATCAGGCAGCCTATTTTACCATCAGGAAAAGCAATTTTCTGAAACTGAAGAAAAAAATCTGGTCCTGTCACATATGGTCTTTTTTCCTCTAACAAGTCTTCAGCCCTAGTACAGATCTCGGGCAGCCTCTTTAAAAAGACTGGTTGAAGCTCATAGCAAAGTTAACCTCTTTTTCCACCCACCAACTATGCTAAATATATTATTATTTACAGGTCATATTTTACAATAAGCTTCTTGAGATTGTCATGTTTGTGAACAAATATCACAGCTATATTAACACATTTTTAGCATGAACATAAATAGCTGTGGTCTGTAATACAAGTCTGTACCATTAAAAATACTGTAGCGAGCGATAAGTAGGTAGGTAGGTATTCCCATTTATCAACAAAAAAACTTTCCTAGCAAGTCTTCCAATAGCTACAAGATGGTGATACAGAGGATGGAGTGCATGTATTCTCTAATGCCCTGAAAGGACAGAGCCAGCAGCCTGAAGATGCAGGGAGTGGACTCAGGTTAGCAATTGTGGGAATGTGTTGAGAGCAGCAGCTGTCAGCCAGCGGAACAGGCTGCTTCGTGGACTGGCGAGTTCCCCTCCACTGGAGGTCTTCCAAGGCTGGATGATCCTCTGTCCAAAACACCTCAGAGGACCCTCCACCATGCAAGTGGTTGGACCATGTGATCTCTGAGACACCTTTCAATTCTATGACTCTATAATTCTGATAAATCCAGTGAGATAATCTAATGCAAAATGGAATGTGACTGCTTGCTTTTTATCCTACAACCCAGACAGTTTAGCCCTAATAAAATTAAACAGAACTTCAAATTAGGAAAGAAATAGAATTTTTAAAGTCAGATATGCTTCAAATGTATCAGAAATAACCTTAATTCAAAATGTTACTCCGTGTGCAGATCTAATCCTGAATAAGGTTTAGTTATTACATTCTCTTTTATGCTCATTTATAAATTGCCATGTTGGTTTTGCTTTTCAGCATGTAACTGTGTGATTATTTTGGTTTAACATTATGATATTCTAATGTGATCAGAAGAGTTAACTATTATTAATCTTCTTGTTGCTGGAAACATCAGCCACCTATATTTTGCTACTAGTCCACCAGCTAAATCAAGTTTTCCACTCCCAGAAACCCTACCCTGTACCACTTTCTGCAAAGATCTGCTATTGCTCCATGGATGTACAATGTTTGCAATGGTGAGTTTGTGAATCTTTAGAACTACCCATAATCTTGCACTACTCTGACCTACAACATGATCAGAGCTTCATCTAAGCTCTGTTAATAAAGAATCAGAATATAATAGTAGGAAGAGATCTAGAGATCATCTAATCCAACGCTGCTCAGTGCAGGAATCCACTTCTACAGCATCCCCAACAGAGAGTCATTCAGCCTCTATTTAAATGCCTCCAGAGGCAGCCTCTTCCATTGCTGAACAGCATTAATCATTAAAGGAATAGGTTTCTCATCTCAAACTAAAATCTTCCTTGGACCTATTGTTTCTTCCCCAGTCTTCCGGAACAGCTCTGAACAAGTCTGTTTTCTACATGACACCCCTTCAAGATACTTCAAGACGCAAATCATGTCTCCCTACAGTCTTCTCCAGGCTAAATGTACCCAACATCCTCAATCATTCCTTGTAAGTTTTTCCCTCCCAAGTTCCCTTTTCATCTTTGCTGCTCAGCTCTTGGTATGTTCCCATTTGTCAATGTCCTTCCTTAAATGCAGTGCCCAGAACTGGATACAGTATTCTAGACAACTATCTTACCAACACAGAATCAAGAACAATCACTTCTCCTGATCTTGGCGCTATACTTTTGCCAATGCAGCCTAATACTGCACTTGCTTTTCTTGCAGCTGAGTCACATAGCTAGTTCATGTTCAGCTTGTGACCCATCAAAACCACCAGGTATTTTTTGGCATGGATTCCTGCCCCATATGGCCTTCTCCATTTTACGCATGCTGTTTTTCTCCTACCCAAAAGTTAGATTCTGAATTTGTCCCCATTGAAAAATATCGCTGATTTTGACACGCCGCTCCAGACCATGATTCTCCAACTGCCACCCCTCATGGCCGGGATAAGGTTCTTTCCTTGAAGTTCTCCAAACGCAACGTTTCTCAATGCCAATGCAATTATTACCTTTTTTTCTCATTTACCCACAGAACACTGTTCCAATGGCCTGCCAGATCCTCCAAGTGCCCAACTCGAGATGGGTAGCAATGTGTTTTCTGGAGACTGGTGGTTTTCTCCTTGGTATCCTCCCATGCATGCCACTCTTATTCAGTGCTTTTCTTATGGTACATGATGCCATCTACATGGACATCAGGCAGCGTAAAAGCGGTCTGCAGATCCTTTGCATTATCCTGGGGCACTCTGAGACTCCTCAGAGCATTCTATACCTTCCTCTTGGAGCGTTTTTGTTGGACAGCCACTCCCAGGAAGAGTTTAAACGGTGTTACGTTTTCTCCATCTGTATACTCTCGTCCTGACTGTAGAAGGATGGAGGCCAAACTGGTTAGTAGCCCTTTCCAGCTTCATGAGCACTGACAACTTTTTTCTGGGATCTGTCTTGACTGGGGTGCCACTAACCTCCACAAATCTACATCATGAACACAAGAGTTTGAAGATGGCAACCAACACGTGAGGTGGAGGCTTGTTTGTTTTGTTTTGTTTATAGGGCAGGGACTCTTGAACTCACACGGTCATCTCATAGATGTGAACATCTGATTCAAGTTGTTCACAGTGACAGTGACATTGACAGTTGACAGTGAATGTCAGCTCTGTGTGTTCCATAAGGACATAAAACGCTACAGAGGACACTTTCTTGGTTTAATCAGAGTCTCTTCATCTCTTGATAGAACTTGACAGAACAGACAGGAAGTTCTGATCACACTGTAAGTCACAGCACTGTAGGATTATGAATTCACAAACCTCACACCCTTGTCAGGAACAATGAGCTTCCCTAGAATGGGATGGGAACTGCCAAAAGGCAGCTTCTGAGATGGATTTATAGTGCAGCAATTAATGGCTAAGATATTTAAAAACAAAGACATCTGAATGCAAACATACTTAAAACATTCAGCTCGCAGATATTCCAAAGGCAGCGTTTCTCACGTTTCAAAGTTATTAGCAGGTTTTTTAATGAATTTGATATAACACATGCAATTATGATCACTGATAATGGTCTGACTCACTTTGCTTCATTCTCTGAAAGTCGCTGACTCTGTCCTTGGAAGCCTGTTTCACAAGCTCTTTTTCAGTTTTCTGAATGTCCAATGCGTGAACAGGAATTGCATGCTGCAGGTAGTTTGGTGGTACCTGGTTTACCATATCGACATTACCCTCATTTACACCTGTAGCAGACAAAAACATATAACCAGAGTTCAAGAACATAGAAAAAACTGTATAAAGCTCATTATGAAGGGCAAATCAATAAGACCCTCACCCAGTACAGATGATCTCACCTGGAGCCAGATTTGGAGAACGGGTTTTTTCTGTGAGAAGATTTCCACCAGGCTGATGCTGATTTTGAGAAGTTGAAAAAAGTGGCTTCTTCAATGCTAAAAACACAAATCCACACCATGACTCACATCTGTAAATACTAAGCGAACATACTATAAAGCAGTTATTTAGCACTTGGTTCAAAGAGGAAGAACGAATAACTCTGCTCAAGACCAAAGTTTGCAACAGAAGACAGACTGTTACAGATCCAGCTATTGCTCTGAGAAAATTTAGATGTTCACCATAAGCCTCCCTAGTTATAATAATCATAATTCTGGCTCTTGGGGGAATCAGAGAATCACCGTTCTCTAACCTAATAGCCCTGAAGAGTTTGCTAATACAGCATCTACCAGCATTAATAGCCAGTGAAGAATAATGTGCAATTCCAGATTTGTAGAAAAACACTGTATTTATTAACAAAAAGTATATACTGCTCCAATCTTGGGACCAGGCAGTGTGCAGAAGTGCTCTCTCAACACAACAATCTCCCACAATTCTTAAGGATCAAAAAAGTAACCAAAAAAACTCTTCTTCTCACTACAACCCATTTAAAGAGGAAAGTCTTAAGAGACTTTTAAGAGACCAGTGTCAGGACTTCTGCAAAGACGTGTCTTATTATAGGCGTGTCTCCTATTTCTCATCAGATTGGGACATCAAGCTGTTAGCGGCAACTATCAATGCCATCTGAAAAACAAAACAACTGAGAACCCAGAAATGATGCTGCAAGCATATTTTACTGGATGTGTAAGCAAAACATCACCATTTTTATCAGAGTGATTTTTAACTATCCTGGGCTCCATTTGTCAATTGAAATATCTGTCTGGAGTGAGCAGAAGTGCAGGAGACATTAGTGCAACATCAGATCTGAGATACTAACCAGTGAGTGTATCTTCACCTTTGGCAGGGTCATTCTCCTCTATTCCAGGCATGCCTGCATCGTCCCCGGGTTTAATCTTTTCTGTCAAAACAAGATATTTTTCCCCTTGCTGCACTGTCCATTGAAACTCTAAGACTATGTGTGTTCAAACTGTTACAGGGATAGGAGAAATGGTGATGGAGGAAAGTTACCTCACCTCCCACACTGCCTTGCTGCAAAGCCAAGCTATACCCCCAAATCTCTGCTGACTGAACTGTGCCCTGGCTGAGCACCTTGACAAGCAAGTATTTGCCGTTCTCCCCTGAGTGTCAGAGGGACCCTAATGCCTTACCACAGTTGCCCTAGACAGACCTTTGCCATCTGATATATTGTTGGTTGATGGTGCTTCATTCTTAATTTCATTCAGTTTTTGAGTTGCCTTCAGTATTTTTGGACTCTCACTCAATCCTCTCTCAATGTCTTTGGTGAACTGGCTCCTGCGTGTAGTCTGCTGTGAAAATATTCCTTAAGGATTAAAAGCTAAACTTACAAAGAAACACATTAATTTATCTTCCAGTTAATCCAATGCTTCATATTTCATTGTTAGGATTATCAACATATAGAAATCATACTGCTTCGTCTGCACCTTTACCTCCCCTACTTCCCACAGCCCAAATGCCAAAAAATAAAAACTCTACCCTGATACGGCAACTAGTATTGCCAAGTCTGCTCCTTACTATCCCCATCTTATAACCATGCCGGGAGGAGCAAGACAGCAGAATCCTGGGTTCATCTCAATGCAGACCAGAGAGCACGGTGTACCTTCTGGTCCTGTATAACTTGGTCCTCCAATTTTTTCATATCTTCTTCATGTTGTATTCTTAGTTCCTTGATCTGTTGCCCACACTGAAAACTAGAACAAAGAGGAAAAACAGAATGTAGAACTGAGATTGACCCAGATTTTCTGTATTATTTATGAACTGCTAGGTAAAGTTCCTTTCCATATAAGACACTGAATGAAAATATGAAATTAGGCCTCTAACTTTCTTGAGGAACTCCTTCACAAAAATCTTGATGAGTCATGAACCAAGCAGGGTAGCACACAATTTTTCACTCCCATCCTATTGCAGCAATCTCTGTAAATACCAGTATACTGACCACTTTATACTGTCTATTGGCTTTGGACAACTGCAATATACTTGCGTTTAGATTTGATTTCTACAACCAAGCAAAGCAAACCCTGTTCCATTCTTCTCTTCCTTAATACCTATAAGGCTGTATTGATCCATCAAGCATCAAGGCTGAGACCAAACATCTTCTTAACCTGTTTTATATACAGCCACAAAAGAATATTAATGTTAAAATAAGGCCCAACATTGATCCTAAAGCTCATAAGCAAATGAGCTGACCTGGTAGCAATAAAATGTCTTATAACTAGATTATTTTATTCACATTTAATCTCTCACCTTTCGTATTCCAGTCTTTTAAGAAGTTGTGTATTGTTTTTCTTGTATTCATGAAGATAGTCCTCTTGTCGTAGGAATTCTTGACGCAATTCTGCAAGTTGTTCTAAGTGAAAGTGTAAACATTTGAACAATTTTTAAAAATGCTCCATACTTTAAACTTAACCTTGTTTTCTGCTGGATAATTTTCCATTATAGTAATAAAAATGTAAATATTTACTGAATTAAAATAATACCTAAAATACACCTTTCTGGATCCTTAGCCTATAGCTATGCTGTTACAGAATAGAGGAGGCTGTTGCTTTTATATTTGAGGCCCATTAAAATAGTCCAGGAGATAATGGATTTTTTTCAGAGATGCTGCCTGCCCATTTTTAATATTTCATATTCTAGTAAATTTAGAATATTTATCTAGCTGAAAATTTTAAAGAGAACTTACAGTAGTCCACAAAAAGTAGCTGTATTCCAAAATTTCAAGACAGCACAAGGTTGCCTATTTGGTATTAGATTTTACTGCTATATGTTATTCAGCTATAAAATAACATTTATACCAGGAACATTTACCCTTTAAGCGATGTATGTCTGCCATTTGGTAAGATATGTTGCTCTGAAGTTTGATCTGAAAAGGAAAAATAAGTAGTAAAGTTATACAGATAATCTTCCTGTTATGAGAATAAAATTATCTAGAATGACTGATTCTGAAGATCAAAATGACCCTGATCACCTCTGACCAGGGGCACACAACCTTTTCTGGTCTGCAGCCTCACTACCATACCATCTTCTGGCAGCTGAGAGCCTCAGGGATGGGGTGAGAGCATAAGATGTCATCAGAGGGGCAAGATTATCAGATCCCTTTTTCTCTCTTTGGTTTAAAAAGTATTTCACTTGATGTCTTAGAAAACACATGCTGCTAGTTTTTTATAGCTTGCCTCCAAATTGCTTAAGGAAGGAGGCAGGTTTTTTAAGCTGATCGGTGCAACTACCAGCTCATACCATGTGCCCGAAAAGTAATTTACAGAAGGCAATTTGCTTTCCCCGCAGATGCCTGCTTCTCATACCTACAGCTGAAGGATGGACTGAAATCCCATTGCCCACCCATGTTTTAGAATAACGAAAGTATATGGAAGCATACCTTTAACACTATGTTACACAGGCAAACCTACTCTATAGCAGAAGACTGTGACTTGGTTTTAGTTAAACCCAAAGCTGCAGGAGGTTAGAATCTGAATGATTTTGTACCACAGAAGAGACCACACCTGAAGGAATCTCCCTGTCCTTCATGGAAGGCGGTCAATATTCAATACTCAAGTCTCTGGCGCACAGCCTCTCTTTAACTTTCCTTCCCTCTTCACATACGGCATTAGTAAGAACTGCACTCCTTCAAAACCAGACAGACAACTGCTTTTGACCAAAGCTGCAGCGGTGCCTGAGCACCATGGGTTGAGCCCCACGCAAGGCGCCTGGCCGCCTCCACGCCCGCACCTTGCCATCCTCGCACTTCCTAATCTGGCCGTCCTTGGCCTGGAGCTGGCTGTTCAGGTGGCTGCGGTCCGCCTCCTTCTGCTCCAGGTACTTCTTGTGCGACTCCACCTGGAGCAGGAGCTCCGAGTTCCTCTTCTCCAGGCGCCCGCGAGCCACGTCGCTGCGCTTGGCCTGCCCCTGCAGCTCCGCCACCTCCTCCTGCAGGACGGTCTGGCGGGACGACGAGCTCCAGTAGTTGAAGGCGAGGACCGCGATGACCAGCAGCAGCGCCGCAAAGAGGAAGGAAGGCAGACGGCCGCCCCGCCGGTTGCTGCCGAACCCCACCATGGGGAGGCTGG